CACCCCAGACTATGAGGCTGCTTCCCCATGGCATAATCTCTCGGGGTGGCTCTGTGTGAGCATACAGACCAGATGGGAAAGTGCCTCCAAGTAGAGCAAGACGGCAGCACAGGGCTTTGAAACAAATGGGTTATTTACTTTGACTCCCTGCTCCCCTGTAAGACTAAAAAAAAAATTCTTCTTTTACTTGGAGTTTAGTTAATATACAATATTACATTGATTTCAGGTGTACAACAGTGACTCGAGGATTATATATGTTACAAAATAGTTACCCTCTGTCACCATGCAAACTTATTACGGTATTATTGACTACATTCCCTATGCTGTACTTTTCATCCCCGTGACTTATTTATTTTATAGCTGGAAGTCTGTGGCTCTTAATCCCCTCCACCTCTGTTGCCAGCCCCCCACCCACTCCCCTCTGGCAACCACAAGTTGCTCTCTCTCTCTCCCCCACCATAAGACTGATTAAATTGACATGGTCTTCTGGTTACAACCAACGCCTTAGCTTTGATAATGCCTTAATTTTAAAATCCTAGAATTAATTTTTGGCTCTGTTTAGCATGAAAAGATTTCCCCCAAAGCCTTTAATTCTGCAGCCACCTATTTTTCCAATCAAAGGAAACACCACGGGACTTTCATGGTCTTAATTAATGACTGTCTAATCAGAGTTCCACTCTGCCTGCTTTTATCTCCCCCTCCCCCCACTTTTTTTTCTGGTTTCTCAATGAAGGGCTTATCTAGAACTTGTTTTGACTTCAAACAGACACTTCATGATAGTAAATGGCAATATAGTTTTATCCAGTGGAGCAACCTTTTCATTCTCTTTCTTCTGGGTCTCAGTATCAAAGCCACACTTAGGGAATGTGGTCTTCCTTCCTGTCTGGTTTTCCAGCAAAACATGCCTTCCCAGAAGCCGGGGGAAGGTGTTTTAGATTACAAGCCACAAAGACTTCCTGGTAAATCTTTCTCAGGTGATGGCAGGCTGATATTCCAGAGGCTACCTGGAGGCTTTTCATTTGATGATTATGTCTGACAATCCTTGCTTAAGTAGTAAATGCAATAATTTTGGGTAGAGACGTGAGTGGGGCAGGTACAAGTCCTTGGAATGAATGGCAGGTTCCTTCTTTGATCTGGTCATCTACAGGACTCACCTGCCATTTTCATCTGTGGCTTTCTCTTTGTTACACACAGAGAAAGTACACACAGTAAATAGTCATGGTTACCCAGGACACAAAACTTGCATGAATGTCTGCCAGAAGCCATCACTGGGAGGGCAGCTTGGCCCCCAGCTCTCCTCTTCCTGGGGGCGTGGGGGAAGTCAGCAAATGATTCACTAATGTGCTCAGATAGCCTGCTGATACCGACTAAGCTTTGCCTGAGTGGGAGTCTGTTAGGCCCAGGGATACAGAGATGAACGGGAAATGATCCTTGGTTTTGGTGTGGTGTGTCGTAGGGGAGATGACAGATGTGTTTAGAGGTAAGCATGGGGGCACCTGGGTGGCTCAGCGGTTGAGTGTCTGCCTTCAGCTCAGGTTGTGATCCCAGGGTCCTGGGATCGAGTCCCACATTGGGCTCCCTGCAGGGAGCCTGCTTCTCCCTCTGCCTGTGTCTCTGCCTCTCTCTGTGTGTCTCTCATGAATAAACAAATAAAATCTAAAAAAAAAAAAAAAAGAAAGAAAAGAAAAGAAAAAGAAGAAGTAAGCATGGCATAAGAAGATGGGTGTGGGCATAGAGGGTTGTGGAAAGATCTCTAGAAGCACCAAACAGGTTCAACCCTAGCTGGAGAGATTGGTGAAGCACTGGAGCCTGGAAGAGACTCATGGAGGAGGTGGGGAAACAGACTGAGGATATCTTAGTCTGCTCAAGCTGCTGTAACAGAACACTGCAGACTGGGGGCTTATGGACAACAGACATTTATTTTCCATGATTCTGGAGGCCAGGAGGGTGCCAGCAGATTCAGGGTCTGGTGAGAACCTACTTCCTGGTTCATAGATGTCCGTCTCCTCATGTGGCAGAAGGGGGAGGAGAGCTTTCTGGGGGTCTCTCTCTCTCTTTTTAAAGATTTTGTTTATCTCAGAGAGAGAGAAAGAGCACAAGCATGAGTGGGGGGAGCGTGGCAGAGGGAGAAACAGACTCCCGCTGAGCAGGGAGCCTGAAGTGGGACTCAATCCCAGGACCCAGGAAGCATGACCTGAGCCAAGGCAGCCACTTAACCCACTGAGCCACCCAGGGACCCCTGGGGTCTCTCTTATTAGGGCACTAATTCCCTTTCAGGGCGCTCCACCTTCAGGACCCAATCACAGCCTAAAGGCCCCACCTTCTAATACCATTGCCTTGGGATTAGGGTTTTAACACGTGAATTTGGGGGGAGACAGAAACATTTAGTCTGTTGCAAAGGGCATTCCAGACAAAGGGGAGCAGTCATGGTGATGGGAAAGATCTCACTCCAAGGAGGGAATATCGCTGTGGGGCTGGAGCATGGAGAAAGGGTGTGTGGAAGTGGGGGAGGATAGGCAGGGAATGGATCATTTGGAGACCCCATCAGATATGGGGCAGGGGGAGTGGTGTGTACTTGGTAGAGTAGATCCAGGGGTGGGGTTGGCCCATAGGGCTGTAGAGGGGCAACGGGGTGCTGACATCCATCTTGGGCTCTGCAGGCTGAGCCTGAGTGGGGTTATATCCACCCAGAAAATAGCAGGCACCTTTCCCTAACTCACACAAATGTGGATAGGCAGACTCTAGAGACTCTAGAGAGTGGAGTGTAGTTTTTAACCTGCTGAGTTTGAGGGCTGCTGGCAGATGAGGACACAGATGTCCGAGGGGTGGTCCATGGCCACCAAGGGGACTGAGCATTCAGAGAAACAGGACCAAGTGGTGGCAGCACCACCCTGTCGATGGTCACTTGGGTCCAGGGCTTGCCCTCTGTCATGTTAGACTTTTGCACACACCTTTCTTTGACTTGTTCCCCCACCTTGAATCCCCACCCCCACTCTGCCCTCTGACTTCAGACCTCCTTCTAAGAAGAACTTGGCTCCCTACGTCACCGTAGCCCTGAGTCTGGTCTTCAGATTCCCACAAACAAGTCCTCCTCATGGATTTCCTCTTGAACCCCGGGCTTCCAGGGCAGCCCTGAGGTGAGGATGGAACCCTAGAGTTGGGGTGGGTGTTTAAGGGAGAAAGGCATCAGGGGATAGACCACAGAGAAATGTAAAGCCCTCACTCACCTGGACAACCGCCTTTGGGAGCAAGGATAGCTTCCTTCTGGCTCCTGAGAGGTTTGTGCATGTACACAGGTGTGGTACCCAGAGTGTGCACAGGTGTATGGAGCTAGGGAGGCACCTTTCACTCCATCCCAGCTCCTCTAACTCGAGCCCTTCTGCACCCCACATAATCCTGCCCTTCCCACCTTGCCATGTTCCTGCTCTTCATGCCCTCCCTTGCCTCTCACCTTGGTCCAAATCTTTCCTCTTGCTTTGAGGCCTCTCGTGAGTTCACTTGGATTTCCCTGTCACCAGAACCACCCCTCCCCCAACCCCCACCTCCTCTGAGCTACTAACTTTGGATCACAGGGCATCAGGGACAGTGTTTCTCATTCACATCCTTCCTAAGGGTCCTGTAAGTCTGGCTGAGGGTGAAACCGATGTCTAACCTGGCAGGGCACCTCTAGGGCCTAGCACAGAGCCTCCCCTGTGCCCCTCGGTGTGTCATGCATTAGAATCTGCTCAGCGAGAGTGGCAGACACAGCTGGTAAAGAGAGAGAGAGGGACATGATCCAGATCCTGCAAAGATGTAGATGGACAGGCGCCAAAAGGTACAATCTCGCCCATAGGAGAAGATTTTCTAACCACCTCTGCAGGGCCAAGGGTCCCTTCACACCAAGCCACTAAGGCAGAGACATACGGACTAGTCAGGAAAGTCCATGTGATGCTACAGTAATAAGCTACCCCTGGCATCTCAGTGGCTGACCAAAGCTAGGTTGTCCAATGCCCGTTAGAGGATGGGCTGGGCGGGGGAAAGTTTTCAGCACTCTGGGGTCCAGGCTGACCCAGGCCTTACCCAGGGAACATTTGCTGTGGCAGGGAAGAGAGAAGACTTTGAGAAGCCACATCCCCCATCTCTCTTTGCCCACAAGTGACATGGTCCCTTTAGCTCATGCCCAGTGCCCAGAGCTAGTCACACGGCCCTGTCCACCTGCAAGGGGGACTGTGTGCCCGGAGAGGATGGCAGATCTGGATGTTGGTGAGCTCCTAGTGACATCCACCAGACTTGCTCAGGCCTGTTTGGGGGAAATTCCTCCACCCATTAGATGCTTTTCCTGCCCCCAAGGGCCTGGAATCAGGCTCCACTTACTTACCTGACTCATGAACGAAGCTCTTCCTCATGTTTAGTTGATGCTGTCCATCTGTTGGCCCTCAACTCATCACCGAGGCTCAAAGAACAAGTCTGATTCCTTTCTTCTGCACGACTTGGGAGATCTGGATCATGTCCTGCTAGTCTTCTGTCATCTAAGGCCAGCATCCCTCCTGTGGCCCCTCCTGCCTGCCCCGGCCACTCTTCCCAGCCACTCACGGTCGATGTGCCTTTCTATACTCTCATGGTGGGAGCCCCAAGTGCTAGGCACAGCACCGGGCAGGGCATGGGGTGAGGAGCCCCGGGCACAGCTCCCCATCAGCTTGGGCACTTGTGGGACATTGTTATGTGGCGTCATTGTGTCTCAACACCCCACCGTCTTCATCTCTGCACCAGGGTAAGGCCAACACTCTCCTGGGTGTTGCCTCTTCATCATTTTATAATTTCAGTCCCCTGCAGTGGACTGTGTATTGGTGTCCCCCACTCCACCCCAATTCACACGGTGAGATCCTAATCCCTAGTGCCATGGAATCAGGAGGTGGGGCCTTTAGGAGGTGCTTAGTTCAGAGGGTGGAGCCCTCCTGAACAGGACTGGTGTCCTCATAAAAGAGGCCCCAGCGAGCTCCCTTGTTGTCCCTTCTGCTATGTGAGGACACAGTGAGAAGACGGCCATGCATGAACCAGGCAGCGTCCCTCAACTAACACCGAATCTGTCAGCCCCTTGATCTTGGACTTCCAGCTCCTAGAACTGTAAGAAAGAAATTTCTGTTGTTTATAAGCCCCCTCTTCTGTGGTATTCCTCTACAGCAGTGGACGGAGCCCAGTAACTCATCCTCTTTCTTTATCACAGAGCCTCCTCGTTAAGCTCTTTGGGAAAGCATTGTCTTAGCTGTGGCTACATCTGGGAGCAAACTTATCACCATATGAGTAGGGCTTTCGGCTTTGGCAATTAGGCAGACTCCCTATTTTTGGGTGTTTTTTAGGTTTTGTTTTTGAGACTTTTGATGGGGGGTTCATTTTCCTTTCAAAATTCTGTTTGAGATCATGGGCTCTTGTGATAGGCAACCAATCTGCTGTCTTCTGAACATCTATTCCTTTTTATTTTATTTTTTAAGATTTTATTTATTTATTCATGAGAGACACAGAGAGAGGCAGAGACACAGACAGAGGGAGAAGCAGGCTCCCTGCAGGAAGCTCGATGTGGGACTCAATCCTGGGACTCCAGGATCACACCCTGAGCCAAAGGCAGACGCTCAACCACTGAGCCACCAGGTGCCCCTGAACATCTATTTCACGACCAATGTCTGGCGAAACAGGTAGGCTTATACCCGCAGTTCTGCTGAGCAAAGAAGCGACCCCTTTTCTAGGGCCTGGCTGGATGCCTGTGGAGGTGTGTAGGGAAAGAAGAAAAATTGAGGGTTCACATCTTCCAGAATATCCATGTTTTACTCGCATCCTGTCCTGGCCAAGGATAGAAAGCTTGGAGCAGAACAAAGAAGCCCTTCAATTGTGACTGTCCTACTACCTTGAATCAACCCAGCCCATTTGCTGTGCTGTCCTGGGATCTGGAACAGCTGGGATTAGGGGCTGTTGGAGAAATGAGAGGAAACCTGCTCTGTGCCTGCATTGCCTCCCTGAACTTCTGGGGGAAACTGCAGAATCCACGACCAATAGGGCATTTGAGGGGGAGGGGGAGATTTCTGTTTTAGATTAACAGAAGGATTTATCATGCCAGAAGGTCAATATTTACCTTGGCTTCGGCTTGATGAGTATTTACTTCTCTGTTCAGTGGTTCATTCTGCTGACTTCAGCAGAACAGAAGATCTGCTTTTTGTCTGAGGAAGAGGATGCTTACTGATATTTTTCTTATCAGAAAGTCCTCACAATAGAGTTGTGGAGGAGCCCACTATTTGAGTGTGTGTGTGTGTGTGTGTGTTGGGGGGGTTGTCTCCTTTTACCAAGAAATCTGATCCCTCTTTGTACAAACAAGTCGTTTTTTTAAGGCACTTTTCAACTTACAAAACGAGGAAGGGTATAGGGTCCTAGACAAATCCCTTCTCTCAACCTCTTGTCTGAAAAATGGTAATTCTGAGAACCCCTGCCTGTCCATGTTAGAGTTGTGGCAAACAGTTGAGGCACTCAGTAAAGCCCCGCCAATCCTCGTTTTTGTTGGGATTTTATTATATTGAGGTTGGGAGGGACAGGTTATGCGATCCCTCAAGGTCACCAAGGAAGAGAGGAGGAAAGACCCAGCACTGTAGATAGGGTCCCAGCTCTGAGCACCCCTGTTTTTCTTAAAAAATATCTTATTTATTCATGAGAGACAGAGAGAGAGAGGCAGAGACATAGGCAGAGGGAGAAGCAGGTTCTTTGCGGAGAGTCAGATGCGGGACTCAACCCCAGGACCTGGGATCACACCTGAGCCAAAGGCAGACGCTCAACCACTGAGCCACCCAGGTGCCCCTAGCTCTGAGCCCGTATGGGTCAATTTCTGGGACTCTTGGGAATGGTGGTATCTGCCTCCCCAAAAGTGTTAATGTGTATTGGGGGGTGCCACAGGCATAGTTGTGTAATATTGAGACAAGTGCTGTGTGCCACGGTGACAAGACCAGCCAATCAATTCTAATGATTGAGGACCATTCAGTTACAAGGGTATTGCCTAGCCCTTTAGTTCAGGGTGGTCAAACTCTCCCACGGTTGCCACCCACCACAAGTATGTTCTATCTAAAAATATAACACAAATTGCACATAATACACAATAATATCCCCATATTTGATTTATTTTTTATTTTAAAATTTTTTATCTTTCTTTTTTTAAGAGTAGGTTCCAGGCCCCATGTAGGACTTGAACCGACAACCTTGAGATCAAGTGTTGGATGATCTATCAATGGAGCTATCCAGGTCGCCTTCCCTTTTTTTGTTTTAAAATAAATTTTTGTTTTAATTTGTTGAAGATGGAAGAAGACATACTCCAAGTCGCCTGAGAAAGCTCTGCACACTCTGGTCAGTTCCACCCTGGGGGTTTGAGAAGGGTGGTGTTCTTCAATTTAATCCCTCACCAAAGCCAAGCAAATTATAATTAACAGTTATCGAGCATTATAAAGTGTTACCTGCAGCATTCAGGCACTTCGTGTGAATAAAATTCTTTTAGCAAACCCAAACAAACATACGTGCCGTTATCATTACTCTGATTTTACAGTGAGGACGCTCGGAGAGGTTAGGTAACTTGTCCAAGGTCACACAGCTGGGACTTGGAGTTGGATTCTACTCACTGGCTTCTCTGACGGGAGTTTAGCGTGATGCCGCTGAACTCTTCTCCATTCTTCTTGGCTTCCATGGCCCTGCTGGTGGGGAGGGGGTTGCAGCAGCTGAAAATCTTGCCTAGAGGAGTGACAGCTTAATCAGCTTGGGTATATCCATAGCTGCCTTGGAGAGGGGAGGAGTGGAGGATGAAGGGAAAAGTGAGTTTCTGAAGACCAGAACTGGAAAGATCTTCAGAGACAAGCCAGTCCGGTTTTCACTTTACAAATAAAGACACTGGGGAGGACCAGAGAGGGGACTTTATTCCAGGTTATCAGCAAGTTTGAGGGCATGAGGATGGGGGGCAGGAGTAGACATGGGGCTTCTGGGGTCTGGGCTGTGTGGGAGATATCATATTTCTTTTCTTGATTTTATGCATCTTTGTATTTTTATCTCTTACCATCTAAATGGAACCTCCTCTTGTTTGCAGAACATTTGTCCAAACTGCTGGCTGACTTTTGCCATTTTAGAGCCTTCCTGGTGGGTGGGTGGGGAAGCCTTCTTGAAGAATGCCACAAGCACCCCGAGGGTGACAATGATGTTACTTGCTTTTCTACTAGCCTTCACTGCACGCAGCACAGCGCGGGACACACAGAAGTTGCCTGGTACGCGGTCATGGGGCCAGAATGAACTTATTGTCCTAGATGTGAAGGGGAGGACCAAACTCAGACAACTGCCTCAGTCCGGAAGTTGCTGGGATGAATGAATTCTTTTCCTACAGCTTATCATTCTAAAAGAATCCAGCAGTGTACGGAGTAGTGTTATTCTGTCCTCTCTGAGGTCGTTCTAGCTGGGGTACAGCCTGTGGCCCTGGAAAAAGTGGCTTTAAGATAAAAAGGAAATTCTTTTTTGATTTACTTTTTATTTTTAAGATTTTATCTGTTTATTTGAGAGACAGAGATAGTGAGAGAGAGCACGAGTGGGGGCAGGCAGAGGGAGAAGCAGAGTCCCTGTTGAGCAGAGAGCCTGATGCGGGGCTCGATCATGGGTCCTAGGATCATGACCTGAGCCGAAGGCAGACGCTTCACCGCCTGAGCCACCCAAGGCGCCCCAAAAAGGAAATTCTTTTTTTTTTTTTTCAAAAAGGAAATTCTTAACATAATAATCTTGTTCTCTTTACTGTCACGCCTGCAGCATAAAGATTATTTACAGTAACATGGAAATTCTCTTGTCTCATGATGAAAGTAAAGGAGAGGAAGAAGAAAGAATGTTTACAAATTCCTGGGAGATGAGGAATGACCTCATCACTTACTGGGTGTTGGCCAACTGTCCAGGGAGCATGGATCAGTTTTGGGGGAGGCCGTGAAAATACCCCGATACCTCAAATTCTCCGAATCTTTTAGATCTCGAGAGGTGGATGGAGAGCAGGATGAAAAGGAAGTCATTCTAGGTCCAAGTGATGCTTCCCATAATGTGTTGCCCACTCAGAGATGGACTCATCCATCCTGAGTCCTACTCAGAGTGGGGACTTGGGAAGTGTGGGGGTGCCACTGAAAAGGCTTCGGCAAGATTTGCACAAACTGAGTGGAGAAAGAGGGGTAGTTTGGGGAGAGGGTGAAGCAGTGTTGGATATATTTTGGGCTATACACTCAAGAGGGTACCGGTGGGATATGTAAAAAAGAGGGCAAAAGCCATGGGAGTGGGCCTTTCCGACTACGTTCCCAACGCCATCTTCCTGTCTTCCTCTAAAACCAATCCCACAGTTCTCTTACCAAATGTATTGCAGCCCATTAAGCACTTCCACATTGGATGACTTTTCTCCAGATGTACAGACATTTTACAGACTAGGAGCTCCCCACTGTTAACAGAGCCAGAGGTGGCCTCGGGGCCTCTGCCAGCCCCTAGGATCCTCTGGGAGAGAATTAGAAAGCCCCCCAACCTGGGGAGTCCCGCACAGGCTGGATTTCAGGTCCCACCTGTGTCTCGCGTGAGGTACACTGCTGTGGGGCTCCTGCAGTCCAGAAAAGACCAACTTGGGGCCAGGTTGGTGATGGGCTCAGCGTGGGATCTGGGACTCCGCTGAACCATCTCTAAAAGGCGGGATTGTATTACATCTCCCCCCACTCCCCCCATCAGTTACTTTTCAGATCCGATGCCTCATGAACCCGGTGACTCCAGGGACAACTTCTCACGCCAAATCCAGCCCTTTCCTCCTTCTGGGCTCGCCTTGGAGAGACAGCTATCCGGGTAGAGGGTGGAGGTGAACAGGAAGAGGATTCGAGGCAAGCCTGGGGGGTCAATAGTTTGGTCCAAAGGGCCTTGGGCCAGGACCGTGTTATTTTTCGGCCTACTTCTCGTGAGCCTCGGTTTCCGCCTCTGATAAATGGGAACGGTGCCCCCTAACACAGAGGGCAGTGTTGTGGGGAGTAAAAAGCTTTGGGCAGGTGAAACTGCCCGGCGTGCAGCGGACGCCCCACGAGCGCCTGCGGACCCGAACGGGGCTTGGCTAGGAAGCTCCCACAGGGCGTGCGCGCGGCCGCAGGGGCCGGGCAGGCTCCCGGGCGCGCGGCTCCCCGGACCCCGCGCCAGCCACCGGCGCCTCCTCGGCCGCGGACCGCCGAGGGTTAATGAAAAAGCCCCACGCCCCCTTTGACGGCGCAGAGCCCACCTCGCCGAATTTGAAAAGGCGGCCCTGGAGAGGCGTGGGCGCCCCCAGACGCGTCCAAGTCGTCGCCGGGCTCCGCTCGCTCGCCGGCTCCCCCGCTCTGCCTTCGGCGGGGGCCGCGGGTCCAGTCCCGCCGCGGCTGCGCTCCCGCCTGTCCTCGCGCCCGGGCTCCGGCTCCCCCGGGCGGCTGCGCAAGATGAAGCTGGCTCTCCTCCTGCCCTGGGCGTGCTGCTGCCTCTGCGGGTCGGCGCTGGCCACCGGCTTCCTGTACCCCTTCCCGGCCGCAGCCCTGCAGCAGCACGGCTACCCCGAGCCGGGCGCCGGCTCCCCCGGCAGCGGCTACGGGAGCCGCCGGTGAGTGGCGCGGGGCCTGGGGGCTGGGCGCTGGCGGTGCGGGCCGCTGGCGGTGCGGGCCGCTGGGGGCTGCGCGGCCCCGCGGGTCCGGGTGGTCGGGCCCGGGCGGCGGGGCTCGGGCTGCGGCGGTCTCCGGCCGCGCCCACCCGGTCTCTTCCTTTCTTTGCGCTCCCAGCCTTCGCCCCGCCGGCTCCCGGCGCTGGAACCTGCGGCGGGGGCGCGCGGCGGGGGCGACCGTGGCTCGGTCCCCGCGTGTTTCCCGGCTCACGTGGCCCCGCCGGGCTCACCTGCGCGGCCGCGGCTTTGTGTTGGGGAGCAGGTTCCCGGGTTGCCGAGGCCGAGCGTCCGGGTCTCCCGCCTCTCCTGCCGGCTGCGCGGGGACACCCGAGGGACGACTCTGTCCCGTCTGGGGGGCTGGGGACGCGGAGGAGCCTCGGCTGCGCCTCCCCCAGCCACGCGGGGACCCGGACCCCGGCGCGGCTCGGAGGGACCCGCGGCGGGGCGGGAGGAGGCGCGGGGTCGCGGAGCCCGAGGTGCCGGGACGCACCGGCGCTTCCTCCTCTGCCGGCAGGTGGCGCCCTGGCCATCCCCGGGACGGTTGGGCCGGCGCCTCCCCACCGCGCGGTTGAACCCCCCTCCCCCGCAAAACGCGAAAACGATGCTTAAGCACGCGAGCAAAAGTTGCCAAACGCCCGGTTTGCGCAGCCCCCTCGAATCTAGCTTTTCCTCATTTAATAATTACAACTCACGCGGCTGTAAGAGCTCCCTGCAGCACACGACGTGCATTCACCGGGACTCCCCACGCCTTTTGATCCTAAAACCACTCCAGGGGGATCGGTTACAGCATTATCTTTCCTTGAAGTGCGGACGTTGAGCCCCAGAGGGAGGTCCCCAAGTTTGTGGCAACTCAGGACTGACCTTCTTCTGCCTGCTTTCTCCAAAACCTATGCTTTCTGCCGCGCCCCTCTGCTGATCATTAGGGAGGAAGGCAAGAGACAGGTCCCCAGTTCTTTCTCCTTCCTGGTATTTATTTACCAAACCCGAGTGAGCTACCAAGATGAATCCTGGCAATGTCTTAGGGCCCCGGGGAAACTGGGATGTTTTGTGCTGGGCGGGCTGTACACTTAATGGCTGGGTAAGGCGAGACTCAGAAAAGCAAAAAAAAAAAAAAAAATGCTTCTGGAAAACTTTGCATACAATTTTACTTCCCTGATTTTGTTTGGAAATACTTACCCATGGCTTCTATTAGTAGTATTCTCCAAACACCCACAGTAGTGTGGCCTCTGCACACTTCCATATGAGAATAGTCTGAAAAAATAAACTTTTCAAGTTGTAGAATGATATGTATAACATGATCTCATTCATGAAAAAACACTCGGATTTATGGGTATTTCAATGCCCAGGAAAAAAAGCTCGTGGGCAAACATTTCTTGCAGTGATCTATATGGAGAGACCCGAGGCTGGAGGGCAGAGGGCGGTGAGGTGGGTGGACTTCCATTTTTTCCCTCCCTCTACTGGTGTCTTGTTAGCATCTCTTACAAGGAGCACATATTCATGTACTATATTTGTAATTAAAAGGTGTGGGAAGGAAAACTAAAAAAGGCTCCTGCAGGGTGGAACAGGCATGCTGAGAACAGCCAGAGGTGAAGTCGATGGGGAAACTGAGTGAGTGGGGACTGGTCTTCTAGTGTTTGGTGGGCTGGAGCTTGGGGACCGCCACAGAAACTTGGAAGGGATTGTTTTAGCATAAATAAAAAGAGGTCCAAACAATTGTGGTCATCTTCCAGAACTCTTGCCAAGGATGGGAGCCTGGAGAAGGTAAATTAGGGAGGATCTGGATAAATCTGGGAAAATGGATTCCCAAATAGGATACTAGGAGATGTTAAGGAGGCTTGGGGCAGGTTCCAGATGCTTGAGATTGACGCTCCGGAGCATAACTGAACGTTGCTAGGCACAGCCCCAGCATGGGCACTGCAGGCTTGAGCTGGCCTGATGTCACCCACTTCTGTGTCTCATGGACGGTCAGTCACAGGTGCCCTGCATCCTCGAAATTCAAAAGCCCCAGAAGCAGAGGACTTGGAGACAGCGTTTGGCGCAGTGCCCTTCACAGCCCTGGCCTCTGCTTTGGCTCCGTATGTGTGTTTACAGTGGCTTGGTCTCCGTCGATGGGCCAAACGACAGAGCTGTTTCTTGACAAATCTTGAAAGACTTCCTGAAAGTCTTCCTTTATTTCACGGTATTGCTCCTGTTGGCATCTGATTTTTGGATGTGGTTTGTGTTCTCTTTCCTCTGCGTGCACCAGTGTGCACACACGTGTGTGTGAGTGCACGTGTGTACTTGCTTATGCCCATGCCTCTGGGCAGGGCAACTGGGTCTGACATGTGCTTGTGGACATCTTGCCTAACCCAGGATGTTCTGATCTGTTCACCTCTGTCCGAAGTCCAGGGTGGATCCATCTATTTAAGTAATTTTGGTTAAAAAAAAAAAAAAAAAGGACCCCACTTCCTCAGAGGTCTGGTCTAGCAGCCCTGCATGCGAGCCACTAATGATTTTTGCCAGCCATAGAGCTGTTCAGATGCCAAATCAAACCTGAAGGGAAATGCAGCATTAATCTACCTGCAGGCCTGCACTGAAAACAGAGCCCCTAATCCCCTGCCCCAGTTTTTCCATTCTACCCTAGTAAGCCTAATACATTTGTGAAACTCTTTAAAGTATGCAAATTTCACCCACTTCCCTTTCTCCTTGCCTCCTTGTCTCCCTCCCTTCTCTGCCACAGATATTTACTGGGGGTTCTTGTCTGTTGTCTCCTCCTCACCTCTGTTCTTTATCCAACCCTAAAGGGGCCAGAGAAGCAGCGAGTGATCAAGGCATAAGGAGTGAGACCAGACAAGGGGTTCTAGCCTTATCCGTGTTACACGTCTGGAGGAAGAAGTTTTAATTTAGATAAAACAGAAAGCTTTATTTATTTATTTAAAAGATTTTATTTATTTATTCATGTGAGACACTGAGAGAGAGGCAGAGACACAGGCAGAGGGAGAAGCAGGCTGCACGCAGGGAGCCCGATGTGGGACTCGATCCTGGATCCTGGGATCATGACCTGAGCAGAAGGCAGACACTCAACCACTGAGCCACCCAGGCATCCCAAAAGATAAAGCTTTAATATTAATTTTTGGAGTGGATGTGGTCTTCTGAGTAGGAGAAACCAGAAGATATGTGGGACCTGCCCAGATTTCAGCAGAGAAAGGAATGAGTATGTCCAGAGAGTGGTTTTGTGGGGCACGGGACATAGGACAAAGCTGGTTTTTGCTTCTCCCCTGAAGAAGAGTGCTCATTCCAGAAAGCACTTACCCTTATATAGTGCCGAGGCATGAGAACACATGGAGCTCACACACTGTAGGGCTAAATGTCTACCTGCTATGACTCAGTCTAGCGGATGGTTAGGTGAGTGGGTTCTGTCCACCAGCCTTGGTGAGTGTACCTTCTCAGTGACCTGGAAAGCCGGGTCAACGAGGAATTCATAGATGCCTTAGATTTCTGTTCTGGAAAATGGTGGTGGGGGACGGCTGGCTTTGGCCCACCCTCTATGGTAGATTCCTCCCACACTGTGAGGGGCTTTATGCACAGGCTTATGGACTCCTCAAGCTGCATGTCCAAGTTCATTCCAAGTTCACTCCAAGCTCCTTGACCTAGAAGGGGGCATGTTGGCTGTGGGGTCTGCCTGGAAGGATGGCCCGGATGGGCACATCCTCTTGGCCCCACAGCCTCGTCATCTGGTGGGAGGGGCATGGCTAGAAGAGGCTAGAGCAGGACCCCGGGCCTGGGACAGGGCCAGTCTAAGGGCCACTGATCCTCCCACCTCGGCGTGGTGGGGGCTTTGGGCTCTGCCCATAATTCACGACATAGGCTTGCACATGTAACCTAACTTCCCTGAGTCTGTGTCCTGGTCTGCACGATGAGGATAACATGGAGACCAGGATGCTGGGCATGAGGCTTGCTGGGAGCCCCCACGTGCAAGACACCAAGAGCTGGAGGAGTGCACAGAAATGCTGGGTTTGCAAAAAACGGATCGACATCATTCGATTGTTCTCACTGTGGTCAGGACAGATTCTGAGCTGCCTAACCACATGCGCAGGCCTGCTCCCATGGCCATCCTCTGGCCCTCTGGCCTTCTGTGCCACAGGCTGCCCCTCACACTGCAGCCCCACTGTACAGCTCTTCCTGCAGATCATCTGGGTGTGCTAGCTGCTTTCTTTTCGGGTCACACCTTGGACAATGCTGATTCTACTGTGTGAGTAATAGTTCTTCCTACACCCTACCAGCTGGTGGCCTGTTCCATCCTTGTGGCTGTACCTGTGTGGTCTTGTCAACCTTACCACGCTCTCTCAAGGCTGCCCACTCCCTTTGCACCCCTCCCCCATTCTGCCATTATTCTGGGGCGCCTGGATGTCCAGGTGTGTTGATCACCACTACCCCATGTTACTCTAGTCGCCCTCTGCCCTGCCCCCCTCTTGCACCTTAGCCACTGTCCTTGGCCTTGTGCCTTGCCAGGCTTTCACTTCCCAGGAGGAACCTCCTCATACCTCAATATGTCAGTGCCATAAATTCTGGACTCAGGCTCTTCCATCCCACCCCTCGCTCACCTGGCTGACCCTTCCTTTGCTTACTCTGCCTTCTCTTAGCCTTCTGCTTGTCCCATCTTGGTGGCCTTCCTACCTTCAACTACCTGTCCCCTTGACCTTGTCTCTCAGATGCCCAGAAAGGCCCCTGGGGGACCCTCCAGCCTTCTATGGAGGGTCAGGAGAGTTGTCGATCTGCTTTAGCAGAGCTGTTGCTCATTGGTAGTGGTGATGGGGTCTGGCATCGGGGCTTCCTGCCTCTCTGCCCGGGTACCTGGTGATGGGGCATTGTACATGCCAGCCCTATGATGCTGAGGCTGTGTAGCCTGGTCCATGACCAACTTAGCCCCTGTCTGGGGGGGTGGGGGGCGTTTTAGTTCTATA